TCAGGACCTCAGTCCTGCTTCTGCCCATCTCTCCCTCCTGATCTTTTCTCAGGTTCATGCTCTCCAAATACCTTCCTTCCTTCCTCGTTCCCCCTTTCTTTTCCTTTCTCCTTTTAGCACTTTAGACCTTTATGGGGGGCCAACCAGTCCACACAATAATTAAGCACTTAAGTGTGCTGGGTAGTAGGCATGATGATATGGAGCCCACACACATGGATCAGACATGGTCTCTGCTCTTCAAGGAGCTCAAGGGTGGGAGGATTTGGATAATACACAAGGGGAGAGGAGAGGAGAGGAGAGAGCCAAGGGAGAGAAGGCAGAGGAGAGTGGAAGATGAATCTGGATCAGATACGGAAGGCTTTAACGGCAGTGCGTATTTTTTTGTAGGAAAGTGGAAGCTGTGGTCATTTTGGGATACAACACCATGAATAATGTTTTAGGGAAGTTGTATCAGTAGTGAGGCACAATGTGGAACGGAGGGAGAGAGACCACAGGAAGCAGTTTGGTACAGTGCAGGCTTGTCTCAAACAGGGCACAGGGGCTGGGGGGATGAGGGAAGAAATAGCCGGCATTCTGGGTTGCTTTGTCAAACTCTCCCCCGTATCCCACTTCATCAAGATTCTTACTACTCTTCCCTGTATCTCCATGGTCAAAGTCAGGACTAGAGTGACCTTTGTTACTGATGTATGTTTTGAATTCTTCAAGTATACTGGAAAGGAAACAAGTTGGGAACCACCGGCCTAGCATGTGGTAGGTGCTCAATAATACTTGTGGAACAACTAGATATGGGGATACATGCTGGTCTTGGAACTGGAAGGCCCAGGTTCAAGGCCCACTTTAGTCTCTCATTCTCCGTGTGCCCTTAAGAAAATCCCCAAATCTCTTGGGCCTCAGTTTCTTTCTCTATACATTGAGGGGTCAGAAAGGATGTCCTTATAAATTCCTTCCAACTACATGTTACGTGATTCTACGTGATCATCATAGCCACGGGGTTAGTGTATGTGCGGGCAGTGGCACGGACCGAGAGGTGCTGGCAATAGGCACAGAGAAGATAAACATGGGAAATATTTTAAGAGAGGAACCAACGTGTTCTAACTTCATTTTTTTAAAAAGATTTTTATTTATTTATTTGACCAAGAGAGACACAGTGAGAGAGGGAACACAAGCAGGGGAGTGGGAGAGGGAGAAGCAGGCTTCCCGCTGAGCAGAGAGCCCAATGTGGGGCTCGATCCCAGGACCCTGGGACCATGACCTGAGCCGAAGCCAGATGCTTAACGACTGAGCCACCCAGGTGCCCCGTTCTGGTTTCATTTTTAATTAGTACTATGGAATAGATAAACCAAAGACCTTCCTGCTACAGAATATGTGCACTGACTCACAACATATAACAGACCTCTGAAATGCTTAACCAAAAATGCAATAAAGGAAAGAAAATCTGGGGCACCTGGGTGGCTCAGTCGTTAAGCATCTGCCTTCGGCTCAGGTCATGATCCCAGGGTTCTGAGATCGAGCCCCGCATCGGGCTCCCTGCTCAGCTGGAAGCCTGCTTCTCCCTCTCCCACTCCCCCTGCTTGTGTTCCCTCTCTCACTGTCTCTCTCTCTCTCTCGGTCAATAAATAAATAAAATCTTTAACAACAACAAAAAAAGGGAAAAAAATCTATATGGGCCAAAACTGGGCATAGAACTGGGAGACCAAGAAATGTAAGCATGGGATGTGCTGTGACTAACCCCAGGAGGTATGGGGAGGGAGGCTTATTGCTTGTCTGTGTTGACCTGGGCCCTGGTTGGGTGAGTTCCCTTGAGAATGTATAACTATATGAGTTAGAGTTTGAACTACATGATACAGGAAACCCAGGTTAAGAAATTAACATCGAGACTGATCTCCATTAGTTGGTACTCTTGAGATGCACGGCATGAGCAAACACAAAACTGCTCAGGAAAAACATACCCTCAACCCAGGCCACAGAGTATTATTGCCCAGGTAAATCCCCACTGAAGTTGAGATCACAGGCTAAAAATTACAATACATAAAAGGAAACAATGTACCATAGATGAGAGTAGATAAGATCCTGAAAAACTTCAGTAAGATCCAACCATTCTGAGTGAAGCCTGGATATAGGGGAAGGAAGGGTCAAGGGTGAATCCCACAGAAGAACTGTAAGTTATTTAGGTGAGTCTAGGGGCCCAAACAAATGATAGTCATCATTAGCAGAAATTGAACATATAGAAGAATGATACGGTTTTAGACAGATAGTATTTTATATGGCAGTGAGACACCCACATGGAGCTGTTCATTTATCTGACCAAGGAAGGAGCTACAGCTGGGGCAGATACTCGGGCTGGCTGGCTTAGAAGTCATTTATGCAGCAGTGATCGCTAAAGGCCTGGAAATGAATGTGCTTTCCAAGAAGAGTGTTGAAATAGGGAAGGTGAGAGCTAGGAACCATGTCTGGGAAAACACCCCCATTTCGAGGGCCAGATGAAAAAGAGGAGCAAGTAAGGAAGGAGCTCTCTCTTTGTTCCTGATTCTGCGTGGGTCTTGGGTTTGGGTAGATTTTCTGATTATTTGATTTAAATTCTTCCCATCTCTGGCCTAACATTCTCTTCCCTCACAATCCCTAGGGGAAGCTCCAGGAAATGGAACAATTTCCCTTGGGAGTACTACGAGGGACTTTTCAGCTGTGAGTTTTAGAACTAGGCTGGGCTCTGGCACCAGCACCACGACTAAGTCACTTCTGTTCAATTTTCCCGTCTGTGATATTTAGGCCGAGGTGTGTGTGTGAGGACAAGATGGGGCACGATAGAGCTGACAGTAGTTGATAGAATGATGTTAAAGGGGGTAAGGGTGGCATGGTTATACAGCACCTACCCACAGCTGTCTGCCCTTCTTTCTTTGCTTAGGTTGTATGGTTTGCAGCCAGTTGCTTGAAATCTGGGCCTTTGTGCTCTTTCTTACCCTACTCTGCATGAAAAGTGAAGTCAGGTGGTTCACGCCTATAAATAAAAGGTGTGGTCATTTAAATAGTAAGCTAATGAAAATCATCATTATCTTGTGTCTCTGTGAATCTACTGCTTACCTATTATGCCTGATGGTCCGGCATTTGAGCCTTTTTACAGGGTTAAACATTGCCCTCTGCAGGCTACTTTGAAAAGGTTAACTCTTCTAGAAGAGGTAATGTGGAGTCCTTTACCACAAATTGGTTTATTAGATAGAAGATACTCAGTCACATGAAAGCACTTAACACCTGCGGAGAGAAATGGGTGGAATTCTCTGACTTGATAATTTTGTCTCTGGTCAATTGGACTGTAGGGTGGAGGGTGAGCCTGTCTGACAATGAAGGAACAAAGAAGCCAAAGGATCAGAAGCCAGGTTGATCTGGCATCATAGGGCTGTAAGGCACTCTTAGCTCAAGAACAGCTCAGCCTGAAAGTGAAAAGAATGAAGCCTACAGACAGGCCCTATCCTTTCCTTAGCAGAGAGAAGTTACTGGGGAGGAGAGAGATAGGGTGCACAGCAGTTAGCTTGAGTCTGCTCAAGGTGGCCAGAAAAGCTTTTGAGTTGGGAGTTCAGGGAGTAAAGGGGGACCAAGTTGCATCCATTCCCCATCTTCCCCATCACAAGATCATGCTTTCTTCCCTTCTAGCTCCAAAACCCCTCCCCCAGCCATGAAGGGTTCACCTGGAAGGAGAGCTAGGGAAAAGCGACTGTGGCAGGTGCATGGCTGGATGGTAAATGGGCTGCTGCCATCTGAACAAGATCCTTTGTGGGCAACTAACACGACTGTGAGAATCTGGCAAGCACCTTGCGTGGCTTGGCTCTGTCCATCCATGGTCTAGCTGAATGTTGAGTCCCATTTGGCCATGACAGCTTGTGCTTCTCATAAAGATGCATGGGCACTGGCTGGAGCCTCTGTGATACCCAGTACTCTGGGTGTTCCACAAACAGCACTGCCATACTTCAGTCTTCTGTTGCCGTGGCTACTGCCTGGGGCTCCCTCTAGTTGCCGAACCTATTTCAATTCTTGATAGGAAGCTTTTCCAAACAGTGCTGTTAAGCTGAGGTGCCACCATTCTGGGGTTGGTAAAAGAGTACTGGCTTTGAAGCCAGACAGATCTGAGTTTGACCCTGTCTGTTCCTAGCCAGGTTATCCAATAAGTTACCTATTTTGCTCCCTCATCTTTGGAAATGGAATATACGCTGCTATTTAGGATTGTGAGGATTAAGGATAATATACGCCCAATGTTTAACACTTAATCATCTCAATCACTCTCAAGTTTCAGAAACACTTTGAGCTTTTAGGTCAGTTGTGATTAAATGCATTTGTTAATTCAGTACATATTTATTGAATGCCTACTATGTGCCACAGTGCCTGACAGTAGCTGCCTAGTGATTTCTTCTGGCACATATTCCCCTGGGGGAGTGGCTGGGGGGAATGGGTCAGAAGCTTATAATGGCAGATTCAGTAAGCTTTTAGCACAATAATTTTAATTGCAAAAATAAACAGTTTTGTCAACTGCTCGAGAGTAGCGTCTGCTTTACAAAAATTAACAACAACAAAAGGAAATAACCCCAAAGCAAAACGTTACATCCAATGGCTGCTGGAAACGACATTGCTGTACAAAATCCCGCGCGAGACCGGCTCGGCGCTGCCCCAGCCTGCCTCTGGGGGGAGGGGGTCTAATGAGGGGCATGGGGCGTGCGCCAAGCCAGTTACAAAAGACTATCTTGAGTCCCAAGGAAGGGCCTACTCAGTGGGTGGCCTGAGAGGACTTCCCTCAAAGCGCGGCTGACGCGGGAGTCAGCGCCGGGGAACCGCAGGAGCTGTCCACGGAGCTGGTGCTGAACGAGGCGTGAACGGCGGGCACTTCAAGGGAACTGGAAGCCGGACCAGAAGCCGGCCCCGGGACGTGCCGGGAAGGGGGGTGGGGTGGGGGGGCGGGCCAGGTCGCCTCTTTCGTGCCGGGCGGCGGCGCCTCAATCTACAAACGCATTTCCCTCTCACAGGGCTGCGAAAGAGAGGCCCAAAGAGTAAAAGCCAAGGCCCTTGAGCCGCTCCTCGGCGCGCGCCTTCTGCTTGAGGTGCACCTTGCTGTGCCTTTTCTTCTCGTCACTGCGCGCGAAGCGGCGGCCGCACACGTCGCAGGCAAAGGGTTTCTCACCCGTGTGAGTGCGCACGTGTGTGGTAAGGTGGTCGCTTCGGCTGAAGTTGCGGAGGCAGATGCGGCACTGGAAGGGCTTGTGGCCCGTGTGGATGCGCAGGTGGCGGTTGAGCTCGTCGGAGCGCGCAAAGCTGCGCACACAGCTCTCCACTGGGCAAGCAAAGGCCTTGGCATGCGGCCGCGGGCAGAAGCAACGCGCGCTGCACTTGCCACCCCGGCGCCCCTTGCGCCGCGCCTTAGTGGGGGGGAATGGGGCCGGCGGCGGTGGCCCAGGAGGCTCAGGCACGCCACTGCTCCCAGGGATGTCTGCCACCAGAGGTTTCGGGAAGTCCGCCGCGGTGCTGCGGAGGCCCAGGGGAGAAACCTGAGCCTGAGTACCCGCCAGAAACTCTCCGCCGTCGCCGCTACTCCCCCCATCCCCACTAGGAGGGGTCAGGAGACCCGGGAGGCCCTCGGCCACCTCCCCTAAGTCACCTGCGGCCAGCGGGAAAGCGTCGTAAGACCCCGTGGGGTAGAGTCTGTTGGCGGGACCGGCCGGCAGCTCCGCTGGGCAGCTGATGGACAGCAGGTCTTCAATCTTGGCCCCCATCGAGGGGAAACGGGCGTCGGGGGCGGCCTGGTAACCTCCCTGTGACCCACAGCTCCCTGGGGCTCCAGCTGAGAGCAGCTCCCAGGAAGCGTAGGGGCCTTTGAAGGCCGAGGCAGTGTCCAGCGCGGGAGAGGCCGGAGGCGCCCGGAGGCCTGGCTTGACGTCGGGCGGGGAGAGCTGAGGCTCATACAGGCACTGTGAGGGGGCGCCTGCCGAGGGTGAGACCTCCCAGAACGCGTCTGGGAAGGCGGCAGCGCCCAGATCCGGGGAGTAAAGGTCCGGTGGACCCGGCAGCAAGGCGTCGGGGCCTGCGGGAAAAGAGGCGTCCAGCGGAGACCGGGATGCTGCCGCCTCAGGGCCGGGGAAAGGTGCCAGACCCAGGATGCCCGACATGAGGTTGAAGAGTGCCTCCGGGTCGTGCGGGTGTTCGGGTACTGCTTGGATGAAGAAGCTACCGCTGTAGCTGAGGCCAGGAGGGGGCGTGGGTGCAGGCCCCTCCAGGAAGCAGGAATCGGCTAAGTCCCCCCCGGCGCCGCAGCTGCTCAAAGCCCAGCTCAAGAAGTCGCCTGCTGAGGAGGGAGCAGGAATCAGCTCCGGGCACATCAAAGGGCGCGCCTCTGGAGTCTGCAAGCCCCTACCCACGAAACCCTTGGGGCGCACTGACACATAAAAGGTGCCTTTTGCACATTCTGATCCAGCCGGAGCCCGCATACGCCCCAAGACACACACACAAACATGCACACGCAAAACACACGTGCACAGGCAAAAGGACGCCCTGATAAACCCACAGGTTCCTGCGGAGGCGCTGGCGGCACAGTGGGGCTGGGGATGGGGGTGCGCACCCCAGGACCCCCAAGCCTCCTACCACCCCTACCCCCACAGCTCTATCGTCCCAGTCCCTGCCTGTTCTCAGGCACCATGCGCCCCCGCGCTGCGCCGCCGTCTGAGGACCCTCCGCCGCTCTCCTTACCTCCGGGGTAGCCGGCGGTAGCCGGCGCTTCCCTGCCGGGCAGCCGGGACAATTCGGTGCTGGGTTCCGCGCAACAGCCCTCGGTGGACTTGACCAGGAGCGCGTCGGGGCCGGAAAACTCGCTAAGGTGGAGCATGGCGCGGCGGCGGCTGCGGGGCGCCGGGGGCCTCGCCCGCTGAGCTTGGCTGCGAGCGGGTGACGGGGAGGCCAGCAGTTGGGGTGCTCTGCGCCTCACAGACCCAAGCACCCGGGCTCCTGGCTCCAGGCGCTCGCCACTGGGAAATGGGTCCGGGGGCCGAGGCGCCCTTGCTCGCCGGGACCGGCCTCGGGCGGCGGCTCCTCGCTTCTCCAAAGCGCAGCCGGGCTCCCCCGCTCCGCGGCCCCCCCACTTATATAGCAGCGTCCGCGCTGGCTCCGGGCTTCCGACTCCCCGGGCCACTGCCATTTCGGGAGGCCCCGGCCCTGCCGCCGTGACGTAAATGCCCAAACATGGACACAGGATGTGTGCCGGGGACTCCCGAAAAGGAAAGCTCGGGCTGTGACGTCGCCGCCGCCGCCGCCGGGCCCGCGCCGCTGCGTGCGCGCGCGCTCCCTGAGCGTGGAACCCCGTGCGCGCCGGAGCCGCCGGTGCGCCTGGCTGGGGTGCTGCGCTGCGTGGGGCCCAGCGTTCGGTTAGCGCCCTTCCCGCCTGCAGGCAGAGGCCCGCGGTCGGCGAGGAAAAGCCGCGCGGGCGTTGGGGGTCCACAGTGAGGGATTCGAATCCGCTGTGGGCCACTTCCTACCTGTGTCACTTAATCTCCCTGAATGGTCAATTTCCTCACCTGTGAAATGGAGCCACGTATATCTAACTTCTTAAGTTTACTGTAAAGAGTAATTGGGTTAGCGCACATTAAATTCTATGCATGAGCACACAGTAAACTACAGAGATTCTTGCCATTATTCACTATTTGCTCCCACTTGTGTGGGTTTTTTTTTTTTCCATTTTCTTAATAGTTTTTTTTCTTTAGTTCTAGGAAAAATAACTTAATTCAATAAAAAAAGACCATAACACTTGCTACTGATGAGAGAAAAAGTCAGTACAGAAGGGTATATTCTAAACCGAAAGTAGGTTTCTTTTTCCTACCCCTCTACGTCTTGAGGTAGCAACATCTAAGTTTCTTGTGTATTCTTTCAGAAAAATAATGCATATGCAAGCATACACTCTGTCTTGCAATATAATTTTTTCCCATTTATAATAGTTGAGAGATTGCTCCATGTCTGAACATAAAGAGCTGGGCCATTCTTTTCTAAGGCTACATAGTACTCCACTGTGAGGAAGGTCAGTTTGTCCTCTATCCATGAGCATGTAGAAAGCTTCCAACCTCTGGTTTTTACCAATGTTGTACTCAGCGTTCTTAATTATATAAATGTGAATATATCTGTGGGATAAATTCCATTGAGTGTAATTCTCGGTCAAGGGTATGTAAAATTTTGAGAGGCAACTGGCAAATTGTCCTCCATAGAAGTAGGGCCAATTCCTTCTCCTTTCTCCCTCGCCTACAGGGTATGAGATGCTTCTGTAGACTTTCTTTCTGCCTTTATATAAATGGCTTTTACTCTTAGGATGTTGTTCCCAGCAAGACACAGAGAATCCACAGGATATATTTCCCTGGAATCAGCACCTGGAATAATTGGGCTTCTTATGGGGGAAAAAAAAATCCCTATTCTTAAGGAGGCTGTGAATCTTGGCTGCAGCAGGTCAGTCGACTCCAGCAAAGAAGACTGCCTGCTCTCCTGATCTCATCTCCCTTCCGCTGTGGTTTTCATTCTGTCTTATTTTCTTATTCTCTTTAAAAATCTTCCATTTAATTTTGTGTTATAGCTCATTTGCTTCCTTTCTGGAACAAAATTAGGGGATTAAATAAATACATGGGATAGCACGTTTTTCTTTACAAAGAGCATCAATTCTTGGGAGCTGGAAAGTGGGGAGGGCAGAGCTAGGGTTCCCTTTTCTTCCTCTGCTTTCGTAGGAATGGAAACAAAGCCATTCAGGGGTGATGGGCTACAGCATGATTTGCAGTGTATCTCCCAGCCTCCCTTGCCCACTGGTACTCTCCTTTTAGAGAGAGTGCCAAGAATGTCCCAACCCCACCAAATTCTCAGTTCTTTTACCCTGTGTTCATTATCCAAAAATTCATTCATTGATTTTCTCAGTGTTCATTCACACAGTATTCATTCCTTAAGTGCTTACTAAAGGCCAGAAGGTAGATTTTGGTTTTGAGTCTACCAGGACCCTAAGACCCATCTCCATCCCTAGCTGTCCCAACCCCACCCTACAATGACCCTGTAAGTGTTTACAGAATATATCATCACATAATCACCTGCAAAACCTGTGCTGATATGCTTGCGTTCATCTTCTCCCCACGTCTGGAAATCATACAAAACTTTTCAAGAGTCATGCATGTGCAGCATTTCCTAACAAATGCCACAGATATAATAATTCTGTGTTCACTACACATATGTTTACATATAGGAAATGAAGAAACCCAGCACATGTCTGTAAGGATGAAGCACACAGAGCACTATTTCCTTTATACTCTAATTCAGAACTGGGGATTGATTGTAATCCAAATGCATTGCCAAGGCCAGGTGAGCCCACACCAGACACACAGGGCACACATGTCTCAAATCCATTCTGGCATCTTGCTGCCTGGGAGGGAGGAGGAGTGGAGGAGTTTGGCTAGGCTGGTGTCCAGGGCTCCCCATGTTGCCCCGTCGGGCCAGATTGGCCAGCCCCAGGTTCCCCATCCCTTCTGCTGTTCTTCCCTCTGCCACAGCATTCCTCCTCCTTCTTAGTCATAGATAATTCCCCTACTCCTTTGGCAAGTACCCAGGCCTTTGTTACACTCTGCCAAGGGCTATTGGGCTAGGTCTGTGTTAAGATGAGGGTCCAAGTCACCCCAACTTCTTGTTACAGGCCAGGCCTGGGGGCAGAGCTGCAGAGGGAAGACTGAGTAGGAGAGGAAATGGGGAACACAGCTTGTGCTCTGAGTGTGGGCTGACCCACACCCCCATCTCTTAGCCACTCACCTTCACTAGACACACATACACACACTCTCCCATGTGAGATGGTTACCTCTGGAGGGTAATTGCATCTGCATTTGGTTCCTTGAGGAGGGGGAGGGAATATAAAGAGAAAGGGCATTTTGTAGCCCTTCCCAGCTCAATCCCTCTTACCCCTAAATTTTAATAGCTCTAAGAGAGATTCTGGGCCCAGATCGAATAAAGGTCTTTGGGAGGGGATGGAAGAAAGAGGAGCTTAGACCTGTGAGTTCTATTTTAATTCATGCTTTAAATATAAAAACACAAACAGGACGGGAAAAAAGGAAAATCGCACACTTTGAGTACTTTACAAACTTATCATTTAATCATCCCGAAGCTCTATGGAATAAGGAATTGGAGACCTATTTCACAGATGAAAAAACAGAATAGATAAGGTTAAATAACTTGCTCAAGACCACACTTTTTTTTTTTAAAGATTTGGTTTATTCTTTTTTTTTTCTGAGATTTATTTATTTGACAGAGAGAACGCACAAGCAGGGGGAGTGGCAGGCAGAGGGAGAGGGAGAAGCAGGCTTCCCGCGGAGCAGGGAGCCCGATGTGGGGCTCCATCCCAGGACCTGGGATCATGACCTGAGCCAAAGGCAGATGCTTAATGACTGAGCCACCCAGGTGTCTCTAAGGGCCACACTTCTATTCAGTGGTAAGACTGAGAGGCAAGCCCAGTCTAGTCTACTCCACAAGATAACTTAGGAAAACATTATTCATTTTACAAAAGGATTCCATCTGGGATTCCAAAATCCTTCCAAAAGGATTCCATCCTCCATCTGGGATAGCCTAGATGGAGGATCTCCCTCCAGCTTTTCAAGGAGGGTAGGAAGTATAAGTTTGATCTGGCTGGTGTCCTTCCCTGCAAGGGTTCCCTGGAGGGACCATCGTGGACAGAAACACTGTGGGTCACATCAGACATGTGCTCAGAAGGAGCACATGCGAGGTCCTTGGGAATTATTGTGGAAGTTGGTGGTGGTTGTGGGAGTGTGTGTGTGTGTGTGTGTGTGTGTGTGTGTGTGTGTCCACGCACACATGTGGCCTTGGGGAAGGTGAGAAGAAATTTCCGATTTCCATGGGAAAAAGCTGGGGAAGGAGAGTTTACCTTCTGGATAAGCATGGAACAGACAATTACTGAATGAATTAATGAATGAAAAAAATTCATTCATCAAATGTTCATTGAGCACAGCCCTGTGCCAGGCGCTGCGCAGGCCCTCGGGACACTGATGCTGATGCTGCAGTGGGGAAGACTGGAAGCTCTGGATCCAGGGCAGGAGGAGGGAGGAGAGGGGGGTAGGGAGGAGTAAGCCTCCCTTTTCTCTCTTCTGGGAAGGGCCCAGCCCCGGTCATCATTTTGGCAATGCTACTGCCCCCTCCTCCACCCCCACCTTGATCTTTCTGCTCTAAATATCATTGTGTTCAAATAATAGTGTATATATTTAAAAAGACTCCAAGAAGACAGCTGCCTCAGAGTATTAATCATGAAGAGGCCAGCACTCAGTCTCCATGGCGACTCCTGACAGAGCTGAGGAGCAGCTCCACGTCCCACTTCCTGGGGCCATGGAGATGCGGGGACACAGCATCTCTCACCCTTCCCTTTCCTCTCTGCCTCTCCTCTCTCCCTCCTTCCTCCCCTTTCTTCTCTCCTCACCCTCCCTCTCCACTCACTCCCTTTTTCTCTTCCTAAAAGATTTATTTAAAAGCTGGGACAGAAGCAGGATCCAGCCATCAGACTAACAAGGAACAAGGCCAATGAGGCTGCAGCGGAGATGAACTTTGCCTCCAACTACCACCTCTGCAGAACACATGTCCCCTCCCCAAGGCCCCTGCAGCGCCCCTTAGGCTACACTGACCACAAGGACAGAAGGAGTCTGGTCATCTGTCCCTGAGGCAAGGGACCCACTGTCAGGGTCCTTCTCTGTCCCCCCCCCTTCCCTGCCCTTGGCCAGTCATTGGTTTATGGTTTCTGTCTTTACTATTTTTTTAATGCCCACAAAATAACATAGGCTCATTGGAAAAAGATAAACATGTTAAAATGAAAGTATCTCTCCCAATTCTATACCCGGATATATACATTTAAAGAGTTTCAAGTTGATTCCTATAGATTTTTCTTCATCCGACATTCATCTATTCAACCGTAGCACTACGGTAATCATCATCATTTGTACCAATGTTGTCACACTAACATACTCTTGTAATTAACATTATCCCTTGAATGGTTTTTCTTTTCCCCATCATGATACAGATTAATCTGTAGTGTTGTTAACAACTGCTCCAGGGTATTCCATCATGTACATGTGTATAAGCTTTTAACTCTATAGTTTCCTGTTTTTCACTATGATATAAGGAATCTGGCTG